CCCCAAAAAAAAAAAAAAAAAAAAAATGTTCAGTAATGTCCACATTTGATTCCCAGCACTTGTTTAGCTTATTTACATAGAGTTTTTCTGTTTAAAAATTATATTAGACTATCTCAATATTTAATTTAATCAACTTATAATTTGGCATGTTTTCTGTCTGAGATAAAGAGAATTAGTCCGCATATATTACAATGTTTAGCAAGAAGTACATCTAAGAAAGCTCCCTTATATTGTCCTATGGTTTTTACCTATTTTTAGATTTTTAAATGCATTTTTTAGTTGTGGTAAAAAGATGTAACATAAAATTTACCATCTTAACCATTTTTTAAGTGTACAAGTGTTAAATATATTCACATTGTTGTCATTATACGCAGATGACATGATTCTCTATATAGAAAACCCTAACGACTCCACACAACACTATTAGAACTGATAAACAAATTCCGCAAGGTAGCAGGATATGAGATTAACATACAGAAATCTGTTGCATTTCTTTAGACTAACACTGAAATATCAGAAAGAGAAAGTTTAAAAATATTCCTTTTAAAATCGTGTACAAAAAAAAAAAACAAAAAACCTAGGAATAAACCTGACCAAGGAGGTGAAAGACTTATACACTGAGAACTAGGAAACATTGATAAAGGAGACTGAAGATTATTTAAAGAAATGGAAAGATATCCCATGCTCTTAGATTGGAAGAATTAATTTTGTTAAAATGGCCATACTACCCAAAGCAATCTACAGATTTATTGTGATCCCTATCAAATTACCCATGACATTTTTCACAGGACTAGAACAAAAAATCCTAAAGTTTATATGGAGCCACAAAAGACCCAGAATTGCCAAAGCAATCCTGAGGAAAACGAACAAAGCTGGAGACATAACCCTCCCAGACTTCAGACTATACTACAAAGCTGCAGTAATCAAAACAACATGGTATTGTCACAGAAACAGACATATGGATCAATGGAACAGAACAGAGAGCCCAGAAATAAACCCGTGCACCTATGGTCAGTTAATCTACGACAAAGGAGGCAAGAATATACAATGGAGAAAAGACAGTCTCTTCAGCAAGATCCTGGTTTCAATTCTTTTGGCTAGGACTTCCCTGGTGGAGCAGTGGTTAAGAATATGCCTGCCAGTGCAGGGGACACAGCTTCAAGCCCTGGTCCGGGAAGATCACACATGCCGCGGAGCAACTAAGCCCATGCACCACAACTACTGAGCCTGCGCTCTAGAGCCCGTGAGCCACAGCTACTGAAGCCCACACGCCTAGATCCCATGCTCCGCAACAAGAGAAGCCACCGCAATGAGAAGCCTGTGCACCACGGCAAAGAGTAGCCCACGCTTGCCGCAACTAGAGAAAGCCCATGCGCAGCAACAAAGACCCAGCACCGCCAAAAAATAAATAAATGAATAAAAAAAAGAGTTTTAAAACAAAATGCTTTGGGGCATATACCCAGAAGTGGAATTTCTGGATCTTATGCTAGTTTTATTTTTAATTTTCTAAGAAAACTCCATACCATTTGCCATAGCAGTTGCTCCATTTAACATTCCTGCCAGTAGTGAACAGGGGTTCCAGTTTCTCCACATTCTCACCAACACTTTTTTTTTAATAGCAGCCATCCTAATGAGTGTGAGGTGGTGACTCACTACGGTTTTGATTTGCATTTCCCTGATGATTAGTGATGTTAACCGTCTTTTCACGTGCTTGCTTACTGTTTATATATCATCTTTGGAGAAATATTCAAGTCCTCTGCCCATTTTTAAATCAGGTTATTTGATTTTTGTTGTTGAGTTGTAGGAGTTCCTTATATATTCTGAATATTGACCCCTTATCATACGTATGATTTGCAAATATTTTTTCCCACAGGGGTAGGTTGCCTTTTCACTGTTTTCATTGTATCTTTTTTTTTTTTTAACCACCAAAGAAACTATTATTACTATAATTCAAAACTTTCTTTTTTTTTTTTTTTGGTTGTGACATTTTTTTAACCACTTTGTTGAGGTATGATTGACAAAGCTGTAACATATTTATTGTATACAACTCTGTGAGTTTGGGAATAAGTATACATTGATAGTATCCTTTGATGCACAAAAGTTTTAAGTTTAATATATTCCCTCTTGTCTATTTTTGCTTTTGTTGCCTATTTATTATATGCCTTCTGGTTGCCTTTTGATGTCATATCCGAGAAATCATTGCCAGAGTCCATGTCATGAAACTTCTCCTATATTTTCTTCTAGGAGTTTTATAGTTTGGGGTCTTATGTTTAATTAATTTTGAATTAACTTTTGTATATGGTGAAAGATCAGGATCCAACTTCATTCTTTTGCATGTGGGTATCCAGTTTTCCCAGCACCTTTTGTTGAAGAGACTGTCCTATATCCATTAAGTGGTCTTGGCACCCTTGTCAAAAAGCATTTGACCATACGTGTGAGGGTTCATTTCTGGGCTCTCGTCTCTATTCTGTTCCATTGGTCTGTATGTCTTCATTTATGCCAGTATTGATCATTGGGAGTTCGTAATATGTTTTGATATCAGAAAGTGTGAATCCTCCAACTTTGTTCTTTAACTTTTACTTTATAAATTCCAAAATAAATATTTTTTATAAATTCTGGTGGAAAGTCACCATATGACAATCATTTAAACAGATTTTCACAGTCAAATGAAAATGGAAGGTTGAGCAAGTGCTGGATGTGTCTGGACATTTGGTCTAATTACCCAGTTTCAAATGCAAATTTTGCTTCAACCACAAATCATACAGATTTGCTACTACATTATCAATTCCACAAAATAATTGCATCTACCTGTCTTATTAAACTTGATCTGTAATTTATTTTCCATGTCACTATATTTGTTATGAAAAAGTTGGAAGATATACATATATGTAAAATCACTTGAATCCCCACCATCTAGAAATAATCAGTTGTTAATATGTGGTATATAATATCCTTCCAAACTGTTTACAGTGCAAATATATACACAAAAATTGTTCTTAGCTGCATTGGTAAATAAATGATCTGAAAGAATCTATACCAAAGCGTGTGTTTGTGCAAAATGGCATTATATTATTCACACTTCTTTCTTTTCCACTTAATGATATTTCATGAATTAAAAAAAATAGATATGTAGATCTGCATCATCGTTTCTAAAGGCCCCTTTGTATTCCACAGCCTTGGGTCTACCATGGCTGGTCATGTCTGCTTTGGGTATGGGACTGTGCCTCGTTGGCTTTTTTTCTTTTATGAGTAATGCAGTGGTTACACTCTTTACATCCAGCTTCACCCACTTGATTATTTTTTGAAGATAAATTTCAAAAAATGAAATTACTGGGTAGAATGTAAACTATTCTATTGAGTTCTGATGGCCTACAGCTAATTGCCCTCCTAAAGTGTCAATTTATATGCCCACTGACAATAAACACAAGTGCCTATTTACCTAGGCTCACGCCAACACTTTCCCAATTTTCTAAGTGAAAATGGTATTTCTTCACTGCAATTTGCACTTACTTCTTAGTAATGAGGTTCAGCATTTTACTGTTAATTTTTTAAATTTAATTGCATCATCTTTTTAGTTTTAATTGTGAAGTTTTAAAATTATGAAATGTTCTTCTTTTGGGAATTAGTGTTTTTTGCCTGTTTTTCAGTTGCCTTGTTCACTTTCACCATAATGATTTTTAAGTTTTATCTTATAGTCTTAAGTTATAGACAATACCATGACTAGAACTATCGTCCAATTTTCTTTTGCCCACTATGTTGATGATACTTTGTTTTTGCTCTTCAGATGCCTCTAGTATTTGTGCGTCTGTGTGTGTGTGTGTGTGTGTGTGTGTGTGTGTGTGTGTGTGTGTGTGTGTGTTCAAAGCTGTTCATCTCTATCGTTCTGGCTCCTGGGTTTCTTGTCATGCCTAGAAAGATGCCCCTTTTTAATCACGACTGTATCAGTATCTGCCTGCATTTTTCCAATGGTTTTATGGTTTGCTTAGCATTTTTGGTCTCCGAATTTCAAAGGTTAAAAACCAGCACTTCACAAGGCATTTTGTCATTTAAATGACAATCGAAATGTCCAGATTTCACATGCCCTCACGGGCACCCCCCTCAGTGTACGAAAAGTGGGGCTGAGTAGAACGTACAAAGTTACATTTAGTGAATTGTTATTTCTTAAGCGTTCACTGCATGCTCAGAGACCTTTCTAAGGATGTGTCTGTCTGCTGTTATAGTTAAGCCTTTGAGAACCTTTTTTTAAACACTAGAACTGGTAATGGAGACTGCCAGTAATTTATCACATAAGTCTGTTTGCTACAGCTGTGAGCTTAGATGAAAATGCTAACAAGGATTATTTCCCTTTCTCTTCTAGATTTTACAGGAAGACCAAACTTGTTGGTTTTCAAGACATGGAGTGTGTGCCTTGCGGAGACCCCCCGCCCCCCTACGAGCCACACTGTGAGTAACGCCATACAAGGAGCAGAGGGGCTCTGGGCCTTTTTAAAAACCTTTCTTCAGTGGGCAAATGGAACAAAATCTCTCTCTACTGCGGGGCTTAGAGTGCGTGGCCTTTTATCAGGAGTCCAGCAGGACAGAAAGCCCTTTTGTTGTGTGTCTCAGTCAGCAAACTGCATCCATTGATTGGAATCTCTGGTGAAGCACAGAGGCGTTGCTGCTGCCATGTTCCATTCAGACTCTTATCTTTTTTTTTTTTTTTTTTTTTTTTTTTTTTTTTTTTTTGCGGTACGTGGGCCTCTCACTGCTGTGGCCTCTCCCGTTGCGGAGCACAGGCTCTGGACGCGCAGGCTCAGCGGCCATGGCTCACGGGCCATGTGGGATCTTCCTGGACCAGGGCACGAACCTGTGTCCTCTGCATCGGCAGGCGGACTCTCAACCACTGCGCCACCAGGGAAGCCCCAGACTCTTATCTTTCATTCTAGATCATAACTCAGGCAACTCCAGTTAACTAGGGGGTCCACATCCTACTGCGTCGTGTCTTTGTGCCGGGCTCTCCCTAGGCCCCAGACACTGTCATGGGGTGGCTCCCAGGCGTTTCTGGAGGCATCCCCCTCGGGCAATGGCAATCACCTGCCGAATGAGCGTGCATCCTAGTTCATTTCATTCCCTCCTTCACTTTTCTCATTTAACAAATAAGTAAAAAGAGAAAACCCATTACGTTGCTGGTAAAGAGAAAATTGTGCCTTTTCTTCTTTGTATTAACATTACTTGAACTTTTTGACCGTACTTTTTTCCTTAGATGAAAAAGGCGTTTGTTTCAGGTTATCAACCTGCCTTGATTTTGAATAGAGTGAAGTGATTCCTCACTCTTCTTAATCCTAAATACAAATCTGGCCAATGAAAACCCACAGGTGAAGGGCCAGGAGAGAAGTCAGAGGGCGGGCGCCCCCCAACCCCGGCCCCCAGGTGTGCTCAGGGCAGGCTTGTCTCCGCTGAGCAGGGCCTTCCTGAGCTGTGGGAGCAGCGAGGTCCAGGGGGAAGGCTGGAGGAGGGCGCCATCCCTGCATGGGTCACTCTTGACTTGCAGGGAGCATGAGTAATACAGATGTTTATTTAGGGATTAGTTTGGTCTAATTTTCCATGCATGGGATCTGACCTCTTGCTCCTTTTTGTGACAGAAGCCCCCTTTAATCCATTGAAAGTCATTGCATTATTTGATAAGGTCACATGGTACTTTTGTTTCCAAGAACGTCATGGCGTTTTGCAGTCCCTACTATTAGGTCCTTTACCAAAGCGCATTACTTTCTACATTTGAAGTGATGGAGAAGCAAAGAACTTGACCCTTTCCAACTTTTATAGAAACGTACCCTGACCCCCATCTTTACAATAGGTAAACGCTTGCCAAATAATTCATTGCAATTAACAGATGCAGTATTGAATACCTGTTATGTATAGGTCACAATTTGTTTTACTTAATTTTCTCAGTGTCTCATCATCAGCTCGCATTTGTCATTGAGGACACTGGGTCCAGAGGGGTTAATAACTTCCCATGGTTGGCTGGTGATTGGCAGGCACAATATTCAATCCCAGGTCTAACTCCAAATACTACGTTCTTCCCCCGCCCCCCCACGCCCTACTGTCTCGCTAGAAAAACCCAGCCGTCCAGTCTATCCTCTGTTGGCTGGTGTAATCCACTCCATGTTGACTTTTTCCTGTATTATTTGCTTTAAGGTTCGTCATTTAACAAAAACTCTAAAAATCTAACATAGGGGAGGTACTGAAAGAGTCTCTTTTTGCTACACAGCCCATAAAAGGACACGTCCCCTTGCCAGTTAAAATGTGGCCGCAACCTAGTCTGGCCAGTGGCTCAGCTCAGCCATCATTTTGGCCAGAAGGCCAAGATTATGCCCTTCCTGCTAAACTACCATAAAAAGATTTAGGGAAGAAATCAGTATTGCCCAATTTAGAGTTGGAAAGTCCTAGACGGTTTTTTTTCCCTTTAATTTATTGAGTTTAAATTTAATGTAATCTAGTCGTAAGTCTGAGGCACTGGAATTTTTTGCCTTTGGGGATCTGGCTTAGCTTGGACATCATAACTTAGCCTTTCAATGTAGATTTCACATTTAACCTTTAATGTTTTGTAGAGCCGTAAGTTATAATTTGAAAAGAAAATTGGCTAGTTTAATTTATGTGTATAGATATGTTTCTCCCTATATGAGACTTTTTAGAAAACCAAGAAATATAAATTATTTTTCAGAGTCACAAATGCAGTACACACAGCTAATAGCTTTTTGAATTATGAAACAACTGTCTGGTGGTCTTTAGTGAGCCTTAATCTTTATCACTTGGAAGGAAAGTTTGCTGCCTTTGGCACAGTTCTTGGGAATAATTCCAGAACGCAGCTAATCTCTTCAAAAGAGATCTTGAGGTCTTTGGGGGATGTAAAAGGCACCTTATGTTTTCATTTCTTCTACTTTGGGCTTTTCCACTGAACCGCAAAAAACTGCTCCTTCAGTGATTTTCCCCGGAGGAGTTGCTGTGTTATTTAGACTCTAAGCTCGAAGGTGGTGACACCTCTCAAGCTACCTAAAGCGACGGGGCTTGTTTCAGTGATCCACGTGGCAGTGGGAGGCTGGACTCCCCAGGCCCAGCGGCAGCCCTGGCGTCTGGAGGCTGTGGCCTCCGCAGCAGGACGCTCCCCACAGCTACTTTTTCAGGCTCTGCCTCAGTCCCCCGTCCCCCCAACACTCTCAGCGGGCTGCTGGGGTGTATACTTCCCTGCTCAGGCTCCTGAAGGAGAGAATCCGATGGGTGCAGGTAAACACCATCGTCCTGGGAGGTACAGCCTTTCCCACGTACCCGCTGAACAAATACTTGGGTTCCTGCTGGGAGCATGCACACCATGGGAAACACATAGACCCAGTCCTTACCTTCATGGAGCTTAGGGTGCAGGCGGCTAGCTGTTGAGTCACTCAGGCGCTGCACACCTGGACGCACCTAGCGACGGATCAGTCCCGCCTGGGAGGATGCGCGGCTTTAAGAAAAAGTGATGGGTGATAACTCGGGAGCCGGAGGGGGGCTGCCCCGACTGTGACTTTCCAGTTGTGATCTAAGGATCGGCCAGGGGAGGATGAGCCCGAGAAAGAGGAAGCTGGGGCAGGGCCGGGGTGGGTCGGCCGAGGCGGGACGTGCCCTTGGACTTGGCCCCGAGGTGTTTGGCGGCCATTTTAGGGAGTGATGGAAACAGAAGCCAGATGACGGTGATGTAGGAGGTTGTGCAAGGAGAGCAGCAGAGCCGACGGTAGGCCACTCGCTCCAGAGCTCTGGCTTGAAGGTGACGCGCGGGAGGGTGCAGGCAGGGCAGGGGTTTTGTTTTATGTTGTTTGCAGGCAGGAGACACATCTGCCTGTTTGCAGGTTGAGGGGAAGGTCCAGCTGAGAGAGGCTGACTGTTCTATGTGAGAGAACAAAAGAATGATGTCACGTGAGGTTTGTTGAAGGATCCAGAGAAGGGTTGGCCTCTGGTGGCGGCGAGGGCTCCGTGCTGTAACCAGGGCCGGGCGGGGTGCAGGTGGGCAAGAAGCCGGGCTTGTGCGTCCGGAGTCCGGCGAGGCGCTCTCGTTCTTGGCTGTGTGTGCGGCAAGCACGAGGTGCCCCTCTGCCAGCTGAGGCTGGACCCGCACAGGTGGCTGAGGGTCTCATCCTAGAGTGGACGGACTAGATTAGGTTAAGCGGTGGGCTTCCCAGGAACACCGAGGGTCCGCTGGAGTTAGTGGTCCTGGTGAGGCCTTGTCTGCCTCTGCTGTGATATCCGTAGGGGTTCTGCTGCCACAAGACATACCTAAATTGAGCCCCAAATGCACAGCTTATAGCAAGCAACAAAGGAGTCCTTAAAGAGGATGACTGTCAGTGTTAATAACACCAGAATAATCTGAAATGACTGTAAATACATGTTTTTATATGATGCCTGAAGCAAACCAAAGATTTGCTTCGCGAGATTATGAGAAAACTTAACAGAAAGCACAAGATTGAAGACCTCGCGTATTTCCGTCAACTCTCCGAAGGGCCACCCAGGCCCATCCCTGTCTTGGCTGGTGTAACTGTGGTGGGTGACTGAACTCCCCGGGGGCTGGGTTTCATGTCTGTAAAGTGGGGTGGCCCCCCCTGCTAAGGCTGATGTGAGTAGGAGATGGTCGGTGTCTGTGACCCTCTGTGCGGTGTCCGGGCGGGCAGGAGCTCCAAGCTCTCAGCCCCTTCCTTGCCCCTTCTACCATGCAGTACTTCCGGGGTGCCTCGGCCTCACCTCCTAGCATTTGGGAGAAACTGCTGTCTGGAGAAAGGGCCGCGGGCCTGCCCGGGGGTCTGGTGTTGAGCAGAGGCAGTGGTTTAAAGACCAGCAGCAGGTATGGGAAGCCGCCCCACTCAACCAGACAGGGGGTGACAGGAGATGGAGGACACGTTAGCCATCAGATAACAGATCTGTTCTCTGCAGCTTCGATTTGTGATCAAGAATGTCTCAATAGGCGTTTCTCTCCCTGTAGGGCATACCCGTATTCCTTGTAAACTGATTTCAAAAGCTAGGAGGGACTTCCCTGGTGGTCCGGTGGTAAAGAATCCGCCCTCCAATGCAGGGGCCACGGGTTCCATCCCTGGTGGGGGAACTAAGATCCCGCATGCCACGGGGCAACTAAGCCCGTGCGCCGCAAAGTACAGAGCCCGCGCGACACAACTAGAGAAGCCCGCACGCTGCAACTAAGACTTGACGCAGCCAAAAATATAAATAAATAAATTAAATAAATATTAAACAAAAAGCTAGAAGGAAATTTCTATCCCCCCTGACTCTTTATATTGGCCCAGTCTTAAGGAGTCCTTGGAACCTTGGTGTCTACCAGCAGCAGAGTGTAGGACACAGCCTGGGACCAGCAAGAAGTCTGGATTCACGTCCAGGCTCTGCCTGGACCGATGGCGTCACGTCGGGCAAGTCAGCTCACCACTCTGAAC